TATATATCTATGTATAGATATATAGATATATATAATGAAAAATGGTACACAAATATCAGGAAGGTTTTAGCCACCATTATTTTATTAAATGAAGCAAATACACAAAATGTTTTACTTTGATTGCTCTATTAATTGTGGAATATTTAAAAGACATAAAGGTGTGAACTAATGCTGGCAGTTTTATAAGATATCATCCCTGTTCTATGCAATTTGAATGATTTTTATAATGCAATCAAAACCAAATAATATTCAATGGAATTAGTAATATTTTCACTACACAGTACAAAGTATACAACATGCATAATTTAGAGAAAAGGTACTGTATGCAACATGCAGGTCAGGACCACAAGTATGGTCCCAGAATATGCTTTTTTTTCACTCGCCTGTTACGTTAAAGTTTATATTGGAAATGATGAGGTTTTTCATCTCATAAACCAGGGAAAACTGACAGCTGAAATCCCACAAAAATTGCATAATCTTGCCATTGAGGTTGAGGTCCCTTGATTAAAAATTTTGACAGTAATATAATCTAGTTTGCTGGTTTTCAATCTCCTTAATTACAGGAGCCCCATGAGCTGAAATAGTGAGAACCATCCATCTTTGTACTTGGAATTGCTCCAGATTAAGCTTTGGGTTGCTGTTTCATGGTTACATTAAGCTAGCTATGTTTGGCTCAATTTTGCATGCTTCCTGCTGAATTGGCTGAAATCTGAACCCTGGCCCTGTCAGCACCACCCAACTCGGCAAAAGTCAACTGAAAAATCTACTGAGGCCGGTGGAAATTTTTCAGCCAAACAGTAACTATATTCAATCAAATGCAGTCACTGTTCATGTGTTCAGACAGCTATGGGCTGTTTAGCGTGGATGGGGAAATTGAGTGATTTTCTTTTATTCAACCCACTGGCTGAACAAGAGAGATCTAGACATGATTGGTCATCCTTGCTGAAGGTGTTGAAGTTATCTTCCTGCTCGTCACAATATTTAGAAAGTAAAAAAATAAATTAAATTAATGTTTGCGTTTATTTTAGCTTATGTAAGTATGTACTGATTTGTGTCAGACTGGGTAACAGTGGAACACTAGTAGTCTGTCAGATGACCACATAATAGCCACAGATCTGTGGGTGGAAACCAGTAGCCTGGGGCAGTAATGCAAAAGCAGCACTCATTACTCCATATGCATTGTAATATGCTTACTGTATTATTGTAGGTTTGAGGTCTAGATCTTGATAATTTAGCAAATTATATTAACCTAAAATGCAAATCTAGCTTTCAGTGATTGAAATGCAGGGCTGGTGCAAGGATTTTTGCCTACACAGGAGAAGGTGGATTTTTGCACCCCCCTGGTGCCCTAAGTTGGCTGCCTATATATCGTTACGCTAGCGCTAGCCTGGACCATATTGCTAGGGTGTAATGAGGTCAAATTGCAACCCCCCCTTACCTGAATTGCAGGGTTCTTCTCCCCACAGGCTGTGCATGGCTCCACCAACACAGCCACGTCATCCATACCGTCTGCCATCTTTTTTTTTTTTAATGCATGCATTCGCGGGGGCTGGGGACTTACATTTTTGGGGGATTTCAAATTTTAGTTTATTTAACTTTTTATTTTTTAAACTTCTTTTTACCTTTTTCAGTATTTTACATTTTGGTTTATTTAACTTTATTTTTTTAAACATTTAAAATTTTAAATTTTTTGGTATTTTTTTTTATACATATAAAGACCCAGCCAGGTACTTGTCTTATGCATATCACACACTATCATCTTATGAAAATATAATATTAACAACAAAACTGTAACCGTCCGTCGATGTGAAGAACATTGGTAGCATGGAGATACTAATAACAATCCTATAACCAGTTCAATGTACAATATACTGTATCAAGTGAGTATATGATGGTGTTTTTGTTATTTTAAATTTTAGTCTATTTAACTTTATTTTAAAACTTTTTTATTTTTATATTTTTAATTTTAGTTTATTTAACTTTTTTTAAGCTTTTTTAATTTTACTTCATTTCTTGGAGCAATAGCCAGCCTGCTGTTGGATATTTGAAATTGTAATAGCCAATAACAGGCTGGCTATTGCACCCGCCCACTGCCTGCTGTCAATCATCAGAGGAGGGACCTGAAGCAGAAAGTTCTCCATCAGGTCCTCCTTTGCTGATTGACAGCAGGCAGTGGGCGGGTGCAATAGCCAGCCAGTATTGGCTACTGCAATTTAAAAGAGCCAATAGCAGGCTGGTTATTGCTGCCAGCTGCTGGATTGGAGATGATCACGGCAGACAGCAGGAGTGCAGCACGGGGGGCGGAAGGGAGAGTAGGCGGCACGGGGAAGGAAACTCACAGCACAGTTTCTCCTTACAGGCTGTAGTCAGCTATCTGTCCCCTCTGACACAGACCACTGCAGCCGATTACAGCCTGTAAGGAGAAACCGCTGACAGTCTGTAAATCTGCAGCAGAGAGAACGGGACGGGTGCAGTTATCTGTGGGGATGGTGCTACCATTTCTCCCCCCCCCCCCCTCCCCCACAGCACCCTCAGGCAGCTGCTTGTGCTGTCTCGCACTAGCACCGACACTGTTGAAATGACAATGCACACTAAATAATTTGCTGTATTCTATAATAATATTTAAAGCTGAATTCCAGAATAAGCAAATATTGTCTACATACAAAAGACATGTGTATTCTTACTTAAATCTTGGTGTGCTTTGTGTCTTCCTTCCAGATCTGTGCAGTAATCCAGTGTAAAACGTTTCCTTTGTACAGGAGCTCTTTGTAATAAAGACTAGTCACTGCTGCTCTTTTTTCTTGTGTAGGGTGACTGGTCTTGTATCCACCCCCTCCTGTAGTGGGTGGGTTCTTCTGGGTCCCTACCCCAGCTTTGATCTCTGCACAGGCTTGGTGTAGCATGGTGACAATGTCACTTCTACTTTTTCAAGAACTATAACTTTCTACCCCCCAAAATTGCATTTTTTGAATAAGGCGGCTAATATTCTCTGTGTAAAACTACTCACACATTTCTATAAAAATGGGAACATTTGAAGTACCACTGGGGCAAAAAAGGTGTACTGAGTTGATGGTTCACATATTCTTTATTGTATGTGTTATTCACACTACGGAGTCTTTGTACTCGTCCAAATGCTCCGATGCCTGGCCCAGCACCGAGCTTCCGGTTTCAGAAACCCAGGCAGCAAGTTATTACATACTGCGCAGCTTCCTGATTGGCCGGGAAGCCGGCTCCATGTTCCCTCGTCACTTGAGGGAGCATGGAGCTGGCTTTCCGGCCAATCAGGAAGGCGGGCAGCATGTAATGACTTGCCACCTAGCTTCCTGATTGGTCAGGAATCTGGCCAATCAGGAACCTAGACGGTGAGTCATTACCCGCCCCCTGGCTTCCTGATTGGCCAGAAAGCTGGCTTCATGCTCCCTCGTCACCTGGGGATGGAGCAGGATTCCCGGCCAATCAGGAAGCCGAACGCCTTGTAATGACTCACTGCCCGGCTTCCTGATTGGTCAAGAAGCTGGCTCCATGCTTCCTCGTCACCTGGTGATGAGGGAGCATGGAGACAGCTTCCGGCTAATCGGAAAGCCAGGTGGCGAGTCTTTAAATGCCACCTGGCTTCCTTAATGGGACTTCCGGTATCGGTATTTGGCGAGTACTGATAAAATATCAGTACTCGATACCGAAAAACTGGTATCTGTGCATCCCTACATTTCCTCCTAGGACACATTTTATATGAACCTTGCAGCTCTGAAATGGGAACTGCTATTGCTGAGATGTTTTGTGCCTATAAGTGTGTGTGTGTGTGTGTGTGTGTGTGTGTGTGTGTGTGTATATATGTGTATGTGTACATAATTTATGTGTGTATATGTGTGTGTGTGTACATTATTTATGTGTGTACATTATTCATGTGTGTGTACATTATTTTTCCAATAGTAAAGTACCCTAGGAACATTACAGCAAACTATGCTACAACCAAGAAAATAATTTTTTTTGTCTTTACTTACACAATACTCTGAGACAGCTGAGGACCCAATACAGTATATAAGTCTGCTAAGAAAATATACATTTTAAGTGACATTAAAGTCAAAAACGTTTTTAAGTTATTTAAAATGCTGATGAAATCATTTACAATGGAAGCCACTTCTTCATATTTAAAAGTTTTAGTTTCCTACATAATCATCTGGTCCTTTGACCCCTGATATGCTGCTTTACGGTGGCTCCTTTCCCTTTTAGGGTCCTGTGGAGCCACCATTGATAGTGGTAGTATAAGCTGTATGTGTCTCCACAAATACACAGGTACAGCAAAGCAAGACACTCCCCCCTCCCCACTTCTTCCTCCTCCCTTCTCCAAGCTAGTAGATGGGCAACTGCTGGAGACTGATCTGTCCCTTGTGATCTTGTACTGGGCAGGAAGTTCAGAAAAGTAGAGGTGTAGAAAAGTAGAGGTGAAAGTGCTGGAGTCAGCTGTTTGAAAACACGATGACTGTCAGTGTTTGGGCAAAAATGTAAAGAAATACATTGCTGGGTAATGCATGTTTGGTCTGGATTCTTTATTTAATAAAAGTCTGAGAGTTTAATACTACTTTAAAGGATTTGATTTAGAATGTGCAGACATAGGGCCTGGTTTGCTAGAGAACCAGAGCGGGGTGCATTTCTAGGGTATGCACTGCCAGCTTGCATGAGTACGTGCTTGTACAAGCACATTGCAATTGTGATCCCTGAACCTATCTAGCAAAACAGCAACATTGATGGTCAATGTACA